AATGAGAATACGTAGGTACAAGATGCGATATCTTGACGAGCAACCTTCCCCATTTCTCCTACCTTTTGGTATGGATAGAACCATTTGGTCTTACAACGTAGAACTTTAGGATAGAGTTTGGTTAACTCTATGTAAGAATCATGGATATGATTACTTACTTCCCTTTCTTGAGAGTTCAACATAGATTTAGAGAGTTGTCTTAAACTCTACACAAGCATGGATATGTTTATTCCCCTATGAACCTTGATCATAATCAAGTGTTCTTCATCCCTTGTGAGGTGAACTACGATTACTCTGATTCTATCCTAGTTAGGATACGTAGGCAGAGGACACGACGTCTTTGCGAGCAAACTTAGAAACTATCATTAGGTCTTAACCTACACCCTTTACCCAATCCCAATCCTTAGCAAACATTTACCAACTTAGCATGCAAACAAACAAAAGGTTTCTGTAGAGTACTACAGATGTTTAGGATGTGAAATACCTACCCTAGGCATAACCAACCCCCGATCCCCGAATCTCTTAGCGTTGTTGTTACATCGCGCAAAGGGTCCTTTCTTTCTTTAGACCTTTCCTTTGGATAAATTAAAGTCTGGTTGTGAATTTAAGAATTTAGATTCAAGTTAATCAATAGCTCACGATTCTCACCGCAACAGAAGCTTTTAAGCAAAACTAAGTTTTATACTTGGAAGTGTTGGTACTTCTATTTTGGATTATTGTTAAGTTGTCACTGGTTTATGACTGATAGGAAGTGAGAGTGGGATCTCATATCTAGAAGGTGTCTAGGTAGAAGTTGCACAAGGTAGTGATTAGGCGAGAAGTTATAAACGGGAGAGTTTATTAAAGAGAAATGACCTAAAAAGATTTTTATTATTATGGGGCCTAACAAGATTTCACAATCCTACTCCTACGTATTTCAATAGAGAATTTAAGGCACGCATAGTTTTGGGTAGAAATATTTGTTTGTTTGTCGATTTTGGCGAAAACTATCTTGTATTAATCGACGGAAAAATATTAATTTACCTAAAATAGGTGAAGAACGGGCGTTTGGATCACATTGAATGGATTTACGAATCAACATTCACGGGAAAACGTCACTTATCTCAACTCAAGAATTGTGGAGGAAGCATTGATTTGCATCATCTTACGATAAGATGTCTTTCGTTTATTAAAAAGTTTTTTAAGATCATACTACGGCGAGAAAAAAGAGTTTGATGTGTTTTAGGTGAATGACGAACGTTTGATAAGAATCAATTGTTCAAAGAGTTACGTCAAAATGCTAGATTTCAACGACCCTTTTTTCATTCAAAATTATTATGAAAACTTTTTGATGGACAACGAACGCTTAAAAAAAAGCAATTGTTTAAAGAGTTACGCCAGAATGCTAGATCCCAACGACCCTTATTTGTCCAATTTAATTAAAGTGCTTTAAGAACAAAATAAAAGAATGAACGTTTAACACAAGGCGCGTGGCTCGAAATCGATCATTCGAAATAAAAATACTAACACGTGAGAACAGGTGATAATGAGTGAGATGGGGTGTTTCTCTTTCGGTTTAATTTATATAAATTATTTTTAAAAATTGATTTGTTATTTTTGAAAAAAAATATTATAATTGTTATGAATAAGATTCTTGGTTGACTAATAGAATATGTACGAGTTTGATCACAAAGAAATAATACTAATACTTTTATCAACATTTGAGTTGTAATTAGTGATAAGAATAAGTTAAACCATTTACTAGGGATCATATTCAAATCGCTATTAGTTGATTTATGACGGTTGCAAGTGTTGTTAAATGTGATGTACATTTATAAATAAATATATATTTTGCGATAGCTTTTAAAACAAATTACAAAAGTTTGTAACTCCCGCTAAATATATTAATTCTATAAAAAAACAATAATTTATGATATAGGTATAAAATGATAAATAATCCATTAAAAATATATTAAAACTCATATTTAAGTTATTCTAATCACTGAAATTTATAGACAAACGTATCACATCTTCTTTAATAGAGACCAAAAACATGTATTATTACATAACATAAATAAATCAAAAGCAAAAAGTAAATATGAGAGTTGGGTGGGTACACATTACCAAATGATTTCTCCTTTTGCTTTTATTTCTTCAGACAATCGATGATAATCAAGGTCATCAGGATTTACTTTGTTTGCTCAGTTTCATTTTGTTTCCCTTTCTCATCAATTCTTGAATCTGTGTCAATCTCAATAATGGAGGAAACCTTTTCTCCCAATACATGTAATTCACTAACATCACCATTTCAAGCAACATTTTAGACCAAAATGTATGAAAATCATAATCACTAATATATTTAGTAGTCTACATGAAATAACCATGTCAGGTTAGAATATCAGATACGAATATGTTAGCGAGAGATGGATTATTAGTAGATAAATATGTAATTGGGTGTTCCAATACTAAAGCTCAAGATCAAATAAGTCACCTTGTCAAACACTTTCATGGGATCTTTATGTTCAACCATGTCTTGAGCAGTCACAATACAACCATAAACTTGAAAACTGAGTTAAAAAGTGCAAATGGAATTGATTATATGACATGAAATTTGAAATCTGTTTCATCAGACATTCCACACTTGATTCATTTCCTGTCTTCAAAGGTGTGGTATTAGCATGTGTGGAAATGCTTGTGTTCTGGTAAGAAATTTAGGTCGCATCCACTACTACAAAGCATAATGCGTCTGAAAAAAGGATATAAGAATATACAATATTCGTATATGAGGGCACTTACACTTTTCAATGAAATACTTGATACTTGAGAGTGAAGTTCATTGGTTACATATTTGATACATCCTAATCCTGTTTAGTCTTTCATTTCTAATGTTACATATTTGATACAACTGTTAAATTAGAAGCCGGTATTTATCAAATAATAATTGAGCAGTGGTGTAGTTACCTCTATTGACAAATATCTAGCTGCCTTCACATTAGAAGGGCTCTCTAGCCGTATAAATATATTTTCATTTATGAAATTTCACTCAATATAATATAATTATTATTACAAGTAATAAAAGAAATATTTTACTAAACACGACAACATACATTAGAATAAAAAAGATTACATAGATACGTTGGCATTGGTTGATTTGAAAATGAAATTAGCCAAACATATACGACTCCTTTTAATTGCCGCCAAACACACTAATAATTTATTTGATAAAGTAATAGAAAGCAACTATAAAAGACCCTCCTCTCATTCTCATTATCATTCACATTCACTTCACCATTTTCTCTTTTACCATTTCTGCAATCACAGCATGTGAAACCCTAACCCGATAATCTATAGTATCCAAACCCGCAACTCATTCTTCCTCCGCCGCATCAACCATCTTCATACCCGAAACCTTAATTGAAATAAGCAACGATGTTGATGGATATCGAGGTTCATGGTTCAGCGGAAAGATTGTCCGTTGTCTCGCAGGTGACAAGTTTGTTGTGGAGTACGACAAAATAATGAAGGATGAGGAGGGACAAAGGGCCTCCAAGAAACTGCTAAGCTTTCCCAGCTCCATCCCATTCCTCCCAACGAGATCATCCATGAGTTCCAACATGGTGATGAAGTTGAGGCTTATGAGAACGACGGATTGTGTGAATGTCACATCTCGGAATCATTTGGGAACTGTATGTGCCAGTGTATTTCAAAGACCGGTCGGAGCAGCTAGCGTACTCGGAAGAAGAACTGAGGCGGCACCATAACTAGGTCAATGGAAGTTGGATCCCACCATTTCCACAACAGGTGTGTTTTTATTTTCATTGTTTTTTCGTGTTTAGGTTGGATCTATTCTAAGGTTTCGTTGTTATTGTATGGCTTATGATGTTAATGTTAATTAACTTAATTTTCTTTTAAATAAATACTGTGAGTGATGATATTGTTTATTTATTTTTAATATTATAGGATAAATGTGAAATCTAGAAAAAAGTGAGGTAGAAGGCTTCTGAAATTGTGTGCGGAGACAAGGGTGATTTCAAATTTAAGTCAGGGATGTTGGTTGAAGTGTGCGGTGAAGGAGATGGTTTCAAGGGGATTGGTTTCCTGCAACCGTTGTTGAGCCTAAGGCAGGATGGAAGTCATTGTCGAGTATGAAGATCTTCTTGATGATGATGATGATTCAAAGCTATTGAAAGAGGAAATCAGACTGTTTCAGGTTAAGCCTCGTCCACCAAAAACCGATGATGTTGATCAGTTAAAATTTCTTGCTTTTATGATTATTGACTAAAATTCAAGTCAGTGATTATTTGCTTGTTTTGTCACTTGCTTTTATGATCTAGATTTCTAAAATCTGGATTATCATTGTTTTTGTTATGATCTGCATTTCTCACCAAAAATCTGTTTTTTTCAGATATCTGTTATTTACGGCCATTCCTTTGACATTTTTTGATTTGACTGTCCTAACCTCAAGCTTTTTGTTTTAATTTTTTCAGCGTTGAAGCTTTAAATGCTAAAAGTTGGAGAAAAATCCAGTCAATTATTAGACTCAGTTCATGCTAGCCAAACCTTTGAATTTGTTGTTCTAAATTCCATTTCTTCATTAGGGTTCTTGAAATAAACAATATATTTCGAGTACCCTAGAACTTTAGAAACAACCCCAGCCCACCAACCATCATTGTAGTACGCATCTACTTTGTCAAGAAACCGAAACTGATCAACATCATCAGTTTTCGGTGGACGAGGCCTAATCTGATGCATATTGATTTCCTCTCTCAAAAGCTTATAATCATCATCTTCAACAACAAAACTTTCATACTCGTGGACTTCCATCCTGCCTTTGGCTCAATAAGGGTTGTAGAAAACCATCTTTTTCACTGCACACCTCAACCAATGTCCCTAGTTTGAACATGAAATCAACCTTGCCTCCACTCACAATTTCAGAAGCCTTCACCCTCACTGTGTTTTATTTCACACATGTTTTGGAAATGGTGGGATCCAACTTCTATTGACCCACTTATGGTGCCGCCTCAGTTCTTCTTCGAGTACGCTAGCTGCTCCGACCAGTCTTTGAAATACACTGCCCACATACCGTTCCCAAATGAGTCGGAGATGCGACCTTCCCACCATCCCTTGTTCTCATAAGCGTCAACTTCATCCCCAACTTGGAAGTCCTGGATGATCTCCTTCGGAGGGATTAAACGGAACTGGGAACGCTTAACAGTTTCTTGGAGGCCCTTTGTTCCCTCCTCATCTGCCATTATTTTTTCATACTCCACAACAAACTTGTCACTTGGGAGACAACTGACAAGCTTTCCAGTAAACCATGAACCACGGAATCCATCTTTGTCGATGCTGATTTCAGCTAAAATTCCGGGTTTGAAGATGGTTGATGCGGCGGAGGAAGATTGGCTTGTGGGTTTGGAAGCCATGGATTATTAGCTTAGGGTTTCAAGCGTTGTAATTGCAGTAACAGTAAAAGAGATAATGGTGACGTGAATATGAATGAGAAGAGTGTCTTTATGATTAATGATTAAGAAAAATGCTATTTTGACACCATTTCTTACACTCCATACATACACCGTATGATACCGTGAACAGTGTTTTTTTTATTAAAATAATATATTTTTTTAAAATATTAATTTTTTTAAAAAAATAATATTTATTTTTAAAATTTATTTTATAACACAAATATAAGATTACGCATTAACCAAATTCACAGTTGCATTAACCACAAAAATCTACATCATTAACCAATTATTTTACCTATAATTTATTAACCACTTTCACTACTTCATTAACCAATAAAATACATACCATTAACCATGTTCTGAGCATTTTTTTCATATATTTATGAACAGTAAATTAGATGTAAGGTGTAAGAATGGATGTAGGAATAGCAAACCTGAATGATTAATGTATCTATTCGGCTAATTTCATTTTCAAATCAGCTGTTGCCAACTTATGTATGTAATTTTTTTTTAAGTGAATCATGTTTAATGAAACATATTTTTTTGAGATTAATTGTAATAAAATATTAAATTAAATCGAATTTAATAAATGAAAATTTATTAATAAGAAAAATAGAACACTTTTTATATTATAAAAGTATAATTACGTTGAAAACAGAAAATAAATACTAATGTGATACACGCAGATTTTTCTTGCCGTTTATCTTTTTACTTTATCCTATATTGGATTTAAATCATAACTCTTTTATTTAAGGAATAATTTCAAGTCAAGTTTTTTTCTCTTTAGTAAGTTTTTTTTTTACTTAGTAAATTTATCTTTTTACTCGGTGTTCTATCAAATTTAAACTCTAATTCACTTTTTTTTTTATTAAGATACAAGTTTATCATGTTTTAGTCAAATTTTTAAGATTAACTATTTCGAACTTAAGCGTTTTAGTGATCTCTACCATAAATTTATTATAGTTTTTAAGATCAGAGTTATGCTTTTTATTTTTATCAATTTCTTTAATTTTTTGGAAAATCCATATTTTTTTATATTTTATGTAGTGAAGGATGCTCTATTATATAATGGATGCACAAGTTTTACATAATTGTCAGCGGTATTAAAATTATTTAATCTAAAGTGGATAGACTGATAAAAGTTTCACATAATTGTTTGAGTTGCTGAAACAAATGCTATCAGAAGATAACAATTTGTCGGACTATAGTTATAAGGCCAAAAAGATATTGCGTCCAATAGATTTAAAGTATATCAAAATATATGCATACTGAAATGATTGCATATTATACAGGAAAGAATATGAAAAATTGAATCAATGCCCAAAATATGGTGAGTTGTGCTACAAGGTGAAAGAGAACATTGATGATGACAATGACGATGTTAGCAAGAAGCATCCTCCTGCCAAAGTGTTATGGTACCTGCCAATGATTACAAGGTTCAAGATAGTTTTTACTAATGTGGATGTATTAGAAAATATTATAAGACATCCAAATGAAAGAAAATATGACAAAATTTTTGTCATGTAGCTAATTCTTTGTAATGGAAGAAAATTGATTCAATGTTTTTGGATTTTGGCCATGAGTCAAGATACCCCAAGCTTGGACTTGGCACGGATGGAATGAACTCTTATTGGATTTTTCAAAAATTCTATAATTGATTTTCGTCAATCATTGTTCTACAAATTTTCAATGGCAAAAATTTCAAAATTTTAGGACTTTGCAAGTCTTCCAACCCTTTTATCCCACTAGTTTTGACTTTGACGATTTTTAGGGGAAAATACTGGGCAAAATCAATTTTTCTTTTACTTCGATCAATTCTTCTAATTTATTTTTGGAGACATTATATCCTGGAGCGATATGAGCTAAGTCATTAGCTTCTGATTCTCCAGTTAAGGCACATGTTTGATGTCAACTGAATCAAATCTCTTTAAGAGTGAGTTGGTTGTGACAAAGCACACAAACAAATTTCTTTGATGCACTTATATTCTTTCGTCAACTGATTTACAACCAATTCTGAGTTGCCTTTGATTTCAACTATTTTTGCTCCCAAGTCTAACAGGATCTTAAGGCATCACTCCTACAAAATATACCTTTGGTAATATCATATTACTACGGCCGTTTAAACAACCATAGTAATAACTCATTTTTTCGCGCCTGAATTTTTTATTATTTTATTGAAATACATTTCATCATGGTCCTTAATAAAAAACAATTGTGATAAATGAAAGGTTACTTGCATTAATTCCCAGCACCGACAATTTTTTTATATTCTTGGTTACAAAAAAGGTTTGTCCTTATATTCTTATAAATATATTAATATTAAAACACTTGTTACCATGGTTATTATCAGAAACTGTTGTGAATATTATTTATATTTTATTATAGTTTTTATTAACAGTCGTGGTGATAAGATATATATATATATATATATATATATATATATATATATATATATGTGTGTGTGTGTGTGTGTGTGTGTGTGTGTGTGTGTGTGTGTGTGTGTGTGTGTGTGTGTGTGTGTGTGTGTGTGTGTGTATAAGCGAAGATATCAATCTTTTGCACATAATAGTCGTCACTCTTAAAACAAAATCCTAACATCTCTCTCTCTCTCTCTCTCTCTCTCTCTCTCTCTAAAATTTCGATCGAATGTCGTATCACAAGGACTCTTGTCATGATTTTTACCAACCGATTTAAATAAGGGGTTTTTTTTATTCAATTGAGAATAAGTGATTATGAAATAAGTTGATCTACTATTCTGATTTCCTAACTTATCGTTGGTTAATATAATTTTTAGTTCCCTAAGCAAGTTTGACCTACCCATTGACATGCGCAATTGATATTATGTGATGTATTTTCCTTTTATCTGAATTAAGCAAACGGATTTAAGCTCTTACGAATTAATCAAACACGATAATGAAAAAGCTACGGTAACGTGATTATAGTTAAGGATCATGCAACAATCAAACATAATCAACTTTATCCTATAAGCAACAATCAAATTAAGCAAACGAAATCAATTGAATTAAGAAAACGAGTTTATAAGAAGAATTGAAAAGAAATTAAATTAAATTGAAATTCTTAAAACCTCAAAGTGTCGACAGAAACCAATTACAGCAGATCAACTGTGCGAACTTTAGTTCTCCATGAAAGTCGTATCCTATCCTCTAATTTTCGTGAATACAGAATAGTAAAAATGGTAATGAATAGTAGTGTGGATGCTACTAGGTATAAAGAAACAAGGAATTAGGTTCTCATCCCAACTGGGTCGGAAAATATAAAAACCAACCCAAAACTAGTTTTTTTTTCTAAAGTCTGAAACTTCAAGAATTATTTGACCCTTCTTCAGTTTGAATTAGCTTTTGACATCAGCACAAAACTTGTAGCTCTTTCTCTTAGATTTCCAATGCTTATTAGAACGCGTCAATCCAATTCTCGCAGCCCAAGTTACGGTCTACATAGTGAACAGATATCAAATAACAGTTTAAGTTGAAAATAAAGTACGAAAATAAGATAAAGCCATAAATAAAATCAATTGTAAAAACACATTAAAATAGTAAAAATAATGAAATAAAGTATAGAGTTTCCTAAGTAAATAGTATAAGAAAGTGCATTAAAATGCACTGATGAAATTCCCCCACACTTGAACTTTTGCACTCCAAGAAAAATTATAATTTCAAAATTCAAAACAGAAAAACAAGAACAAAACATGTTATTCCAAGGGTTCTCAGGATACAAAGTGCAAGCAAAATTCTAAGTCTAAGCTTCAATAAAATGACACTAATAAGTAACTCTTTTATGACATTTAAAGCAAATACGAAAAACAAATTGCCAAAGAGTATATCAAAAGCAACAAGATTCTCACAAGATAAAACTCACTCAACTCTCAAGCGTTGGGTGCTATTTATACTTAAAGCATATCATGAAAATTAGTACTATCATAAGCTTGAATAGAATCTAACATCCACAATTGAAATACACGCATACAAAGATCAAAAGAACTTTTATTCGGTTGTAACTTGGTCAGGGTACGAGTGAGATAAATCCTAAGGGGAACTAGGCTAAGATTCAAAGGGATAAAAGAGACATGAAAGAACTTATGGGAGTTAAACTATATTCATCCACTTTTAAACAACAACTTTTTATTCTATTATTTTTTCCTATTTCAGACGGAATGTGTAATGACATCCTTCTTTTCTTTTTTCTTTTTCTACATATGTTTTTTATTTTTTTGCCAACTCTTGAATGGAATATCACAAATATAGTTATTCAACCCCCACACAACACCAAATAAGACTCTTTTAACCCTTTGAATAGGGTGATAACTGTCGCAACTGCGAAAAATAACAGGCGGAAAAACAGAGTTGCCACCGAACGTTATTTATCCCAATGGGGGAAAGGAAATTATCGAAGAAATCTCAAAAAAGAGAAGACATGGTCTCGCAATCAAATCCTGAGTTCGGGAGTCGATTACACGAGAGAAAGATATTAGCACCCCCTCGGGTCCGTTATACTCAACGGGATCCACTCTTATTGTTTTAATCAAAGATTGTGGTTATCTAAAGCCTACTTGTTAATGGAAACTATAGCCGGAAAAAAGGTAACTCGATAGGACTTCGACGTCCTATGCCTACGTATTCCTTCGTGCAATGGAAAAGTCAGAGTGAACGTGGTTCGGAAGAACTACGGATGAATGGGGGATTATGCTCTCCAAGACTTCACAGTATTGTGCTTACGTATCTTCATTCGGATGAGAATGAAGAAGTCAGAGCGCTCGTAGTTCGACCTAACACAGGTGGTTGGTGTCTTTTATGAACGATGCTAAACTCACATTCCAGCAGTTAGGGTCGACGCCTGTTTGTGGTAGAACGGAAGTAACATGCTCTTTCTGAAAAGGTTTGACGAAACATCCCGAGGGACAAAATGATTTGGATTTGTTCAAGGATTTTAGAGAAGTGGATTGA